ACTAACAGATTGTTAATTCTAAACAACATGCAATGAAAATGGAACACGTAATAACTTACCTTGTAACTTTTTAGTCTGATGAAATCAACCTTCATAGAGACAAATCGATCTGAATTTCGGCTGATGTTCTTAAGGTGTTCTACAAGATCAGCACAGAATTTGTAACCTCCTTTAAGCACACACAGGACCATAATGTCACAATATCCTATGTCATTCATAATATCCTTAGCCAGACGCTCAATTCTGAAAGAAGTAAGGGATAAAAGATATATTAAAGCACAACTACTTCTGAGTATTTTTGTTCCTTAATAGAAATGTGTGATGTATTATACATATTAGATTATTAAGAGTACAATTGCAGGAGGCAGTGTTTCTATGGAACACAATGTGAAGGATGTCCCCTGGAGTTGTGCAGTGTGCAGCAGCCTTGGACTGCCACCTGATACCTCATTTGGAACTGTCCTTGTATTGATTTGCTCGTATACCATACAACACTAAAATCTTACATGGAGGCAGGATATAAGGCCTATGCTTTTTAAAAAAAAAAAAAAATCTCCATTGGCACTTCAAATAGTGTTAGACTTGAAACAGATAAACTGAATTATATATACATATAATACACATATAATACGTTATATAACATGTTCTATATATGTAACATATACACTATACATTTTATATGTGTGTGTGTATATATGCATACACACACATATAAACATACACATAGAATAGTAACCATGGTTTCAGGCAATGTTTCTCAAAATGTTATCATCAAAAAATGTACATCAGAATATCTGGCATGCTCCTCAAAAAGGGACATTGTATCCAGCATGATGGACTAAGGAGGTTAATACATTTTCTCCACAAAAAACAACTATAAAGCCAGACAAAACTGTCAAAAACAACCATCTCAGCACTCTGGAAATCAACCAAAGGCACACAACAAACTGAGGAACATTTAATCATGAAAACATTAAACTCGGGGTAGAAACAGCATTCTTGCCTGGGGATGCTCCCATCACCCCCTTCCCCCACAAGCTCTATTGTTCAGCCAGGTAGTTCAAAAAGGGTAGGGCATTGCCAGAGGGACCTCATCTGATTGGGAACATTGTAAGCTAAAATGGCCATCCCAGTAGCATGGCTCCATTACGCTGAGGTTGCAGTCCCCTTTGAGCAATGAACTAGCAGACTAGTCAGGGATTTGACGGGGAGTTCTGCAGGGCTAGAGAGTCACAGGGTAGGAGTACACAATAAGTTCATCATATACCTCTGGTCAACCAGAGGTTGCATGTATGCACAGCAGAGACTAGAGGGGACCCAAGCCAACCACATATCCCTGGATGATAAAGGCTATATGCATGAGGAGAGGAGCTACAAGAGAGCCCAGGGGAAAGTAAAAGCTGGAGAATACTTGAAAAAGTTCAGAAATTTGAATATGTTTGCCAGCCCCCACATACATCCATCAGCAGGAGTGGACACTTTATTGGCTAAAAGTGTCTGAGCACAACTTCTAACCAATTGTAAGCTGAACAATAAGCTATTCAGACACAGGGGTGAATCCTAGTAAGCAAGACTCAAAAACAAAAATAGGGCTGGCAGTCAGCTCAGTTGGTTAGAGCACAGTGCTATAACACCAAGGTCAAGGGTTCAGATCCCCATACCGGCCAGCTGCCAAGAACAAAACAAAATAAAACAAAGGTGTTGCAGGGAACTCTAAGCATTCTTCATTGTTGAGCTTTTCCCTTTTCCACTTGAGAAACTGTTTTAGAAACTCTAAGCTCCACTGGAAACTCGAGCCCCTGCCATTTACCCTGCCTGCTTCTTGGGCCCACCCTCTATGAGATAACAGCAGTCTCACACCCCTCCCCCAGGGGCCAGAGGCAAATTAGGCTCCTAACCCGAACAACGGACTGTGTCCCATAATCAGCCAATCCAAATTAGCAGGACAGCATCCCTCATTTACATAAGAGGACCTGATAGAGAACCTGGGAGGGAGAAGGGTGGGAATTTAGGCTATATAAGGGGGTCTTTTCTTTTGTTCTGGGAGACACTGGCTTGGGAGTTTCTGCTGCCCAGTGCTCTCCTTGCTTGCAAGCAAAAAAGGCACTGTAACACTGAACAAAGAGCTGCAACACTAAAATAAAGAGCTATGAAACTACAACACTGATGCCAGTCTTGGATTTCTCTGTGCATTCGCCCCACAACAAAGGTAAACTGCACAGTCATCAGAGGCCACACCTTGTGTCCAAATGGGTAAAAAAAACCCTAACTATATGTAGTCTCCAAGAAACCCACTTTGAATATAATCATACACATGAACAAATGGGGAAAGATGTGCCATGTTAATACTAATCAAAAAAAACCTGAGTAGCTATATTAATTTCAGACAGAGCAGACTTCAGAGCAAGAAAAATCATCAGCAATAAAGAAGGGAATTACATAATGATAAAGAAGTCAATTCTCCAAGAAGACATAACAATACTTAACGTATATTCTCCTGACAACAATGTCAAAAAACTGATTAGAACTGCAAGGAGAAATGGATAAATCTACCATTGCATTTGGAGACTTCAACACTTCTTCTGTCAGTAACTGACAGATTCAGCAGTCTGAAAATCAACTATATTCAAGATATAGTTGAACTGAGCAGCATCATCAACCAACTGCATCTAATTGAAATGTAAAGAATACTTCATCCCACCGCAGGAGAGTACACATTCTTCTCAAAAGACACCAATAAGAGAATTAAAAAACACAGGCCACAGACTGGGAGAAAATATTTGCAAATCATATATCTTATACAGGACTTGTATCCAAAATATATAAAGAATTCTTACAATACAAGAAGAAGACAAACAACCAATTTAAAAATTAGCCAAAGACTGGATAGACATCTCTCCAAAGATGACATATGAATAGAAAACAAGTATGCTAATGATTAGGAAAATGCAAATTAAAACCACAATGAGATATCATTATACATCCACTAGAATGGCTATAGCCAAAAGGACAGACAATACTAAATGTTGACAAGTTTGTGGAGAAACTGGAACCCTCACACTCTGCTAATGGAAATGAAAATGGTGCAGCCACTTTGGAAAATAATTGGCAGCTTCTTAAACTTACCAGAAAACCCAGAATCCATCCAAGAGGAATGAAAATACATGTCTACACAGAGACTTATATGTGAGTGTTCATAGAAGCGTTATTTATAATAGTCCCAATTTGGAAATCCAAATGTCCATCAACTGGTGAATCAATAATTAGATATTGTGTGATTCCATTTATATAAAATGCGAGTAAAGACAAATTTATGGAGAAAGAAAGCAGAATAGTGATTGCCTGACACTAGGGGTGAGAGCAGAGACTAACTGCAAACAAACTTTTTGGGATAATGGAAATGTTGTAAAAATGGATTGTGGTGATGATTGCCCAACCCTAAAAATTTACTAAAAATCAGTGAATTGTTTTCCTACAATGGGTGAATTTTGCAGTATGTAAATTATATCTTAATAAATTTATTTTAAAGGTGAGGATGGGAATTCCCAGACCCTAAGCCATACCATGATTCAGAATTTCTAGACATAAATCTTAAGAATATGCATTTTAACAAGTTCATTGGGTAATTCTCCTATAGAGGGACTAAATCACAGATCAGGATGCAATTAATTTAAATCATAAAACGCAGGTAAGAAAAGCAGAATTTTTTTAAATTAGGTGCTTCCCAAACTGGTGTTAAGGGAAATCTCTTCTGAGAACTATATAGAGGTGAACTGAGTACAGTCTCCCTCCGCTCAAAAAAAGTTGGTTTAATTGTTAAAATCAAGCAGGTTTCCTTTTTTGTTTTTTTTGTTTTTGGCCAGAATTTTTATATGTTTAGTATGCTATTGTTTACTGGGAAATGCAAAATTTCCCAAGTTCATTTGATCAAGGAATTTTTCTCTCTTCTGAGGATCAGATTTGTATTCCA